TTTTTTTTTTCTCCCAAAACGTGTTTGGGCTTACAACTTTATATTTCTATGTTCCTGGAACCTTTATTTCTATATTCTATTTCTGGACTTTTCGGTTACATTTTCTGTTTACTGTGCTGGCGATTGAGCTCAGAGCCGTGAGACAAGCATCGTAAGTACCACTGAGCTACATCCCCGGCCACTTTTATCAGTTTTAGGCTCCACACCGTGCACGTTTACTTCCCCTCCAGTCACAATAATCGTTTCATTTATTCTGCCTCTCGCCATTTGTGTTAAGTATTTTAAGGCAAATTTCCGATCGCATGCCATTTCAGCCCTACCTAAGTCATTAGGTGTCTGTAAAAATGGTACTGTTTCTTCCTTTTATTCTTTTTTTTTCCCCCTTTGGTAGCTTATGATGACCTTAAATTTACTTTGTAGCTGAGAGTGACCTTGAGTTTCTGATCCTCTTTCCTCTACCTCCCAAGTGCTGTAATGACAGGTGTGTGTCCCCATCTCTGATTTTAGGGTGCTGAGGGTGGAATCCAGGGTTTCCTTCCTGCTCTGGAAGCAATCCCCCGACTGTGCTGCAATCCATAGGCCCTTATGCCACTTCCTCACCGTGTCACAGCTACTTACATTAGTTAATTATTTCTTGACACTATGATAACAAAGGGCCTTTTTTTTTTTCAAGATTTGTTTCATTTATTTATGCGCCTGTGTGTGGGTATGTGCATGCGAATGCAGGTGCCCCAGACTCAGAAAAGGGCATCTGATGCCCTGGAGCTGGAGTTACAAGTGAGTGTAAACCAACATGAGTGTTAGGAACTGATCTCAGGTCCTCTGCAAGAATCCCCGAACTACCTCTGCAGCACCAACAGTGATTTTTTTTAAGGGTTTTATAAGGTTAGTCTTTAAGTAAGAGCTATAGAAGTTTCACTTGTCTTTCTTTTATTTTTTCTTTGAGACTGTAATTCAAGCTGGCATCCTGGTCTTCCTCCAACCCCACCCCCAACTAGGTTACCTACCCATGCCTGGCTAAATTGATAGATTTTTGTTTGCTTGTTTGTTTTCAAGACAGGTTTTCTCTGTATAAGAGCTCTGGCCGTCTATGAACTTTGTAGACCAGGCTGGCCTCGTACTTACAGAGATCCACCTGCCTCTGCCACCCAAGTGCTGGGATTAAAGACATGTGCCATCACTGTTAGGCAAATTGATAGATTTTTGAACAGCTCTGCCTTCTTGTCTGTGACTCAGTAAGAGGAGCTGGCAGTGAGTGTCAGGATGAAGCCAGGGGACTCCTGCCTTTCTTCGTTCCTTCCGCTGGCTTGTCTCACTTAGCACACGATAGTGTCGCCATTTTCTCTTGCATTCTATTTTCTCCTGGCGTATTTTTCTACTCAGTCATTTGAAGTCAGCAAAACTGTCAAAAGACAATGGGTAAATTTGCCGACTTAATACAGATAAGCTGATAGCAACATTTGCAGCAGCAAATCCTCCAGCCCACTTCCAAATGCCAGAGAAAAGTGTGCAGCCTCCCCCACCCCCAGGCTTCCTAGCATTTTAGTGAAGCCACAGTTCTTCTGCGATGCAGATATTCATCCTGGGCTATCTTTCCAAGAAGCCCAGGTCCCTCACACAGCAATGATGGGGATGTCTAGTGGTACAGCCCATTTGCAGCACCACTGGGTGACAGTTCCCCTTGGGCTTAAGAGCATAAATGACCGGAAGGAAGTAAAATGAGGGCTTTGAATAAGATGATGCCCTGGGGGTTTTCATTGTATTGTCACCACTCTTTAAAAGATGCAATTGTTGAATATAATAATCATGTTGAGGTTGATTCATAAAACTGTTCCTTGTCTTATTTTCAATTCATTAATTTTAAATAGGGTCTCACTATATAGCCCTTGTTGGCCTAGAATTAACTATGTAGACAGCGTTAACCTTGAATTTGTGTAAACCTTTCTGCACCCTGCCTCTACAGTTGGGATGATAGGTGTGAGCCATACCTAGCTTGTTCCTCATTTTATATACTACATAGCTCAGGCTGGCTTTGAACTCCTGATCTTCTGCCTTTGCTTCTAGAATGCCAAGCTGTAGGTGCCATCATGCCCTCCAGTTTTGTGTTTTCTTAAAAATTAATTTATGTGTGTATGAAGTCACCCATCCATCCGTCTGTGTGTATGTATGTATGTATGTATGTATGTATGACCGACAACTTTGAAGAGTCAGTAGCCTTCTTACCAGCCCTGTGTTATCTTTAAACATTTTTCTATCTTGTAGAGAAGAAGCGCACACAACTGAGAGAGAGCACATTCGAATGTGCTCGAGCACCGCTTCTTGGTGGCTGTGAGGTTTAGCTGCATGGAGAGTGGGTCGTTATGCCTGGTTGTTTTCACACTTGCTAACCCAGGGCTCATTTTGCTGGGTGCTCAAATGGTAGGGCAAGGGATAAAAATGAGTAGCGGAGATCTAGGGTGCTCGCCTAGTTAAGCAGGAACAATTTCTCTTGACTTGTGAGAATATCTGTTCATGTGATTGACATGACTTCTAGTTTTCGAGAGAAATTATAAATTTAGTTTCCTATTAAAATCTTTGAAAGCAAACAGATAATTCAAATGTTAAACCAAAGCCCTATTTACTCTATGCCATTGTGTAATCTGCCTCTCCCTTGGGTAACCGTCAATTTTATACTTGTAACTGCTGCGGAGCCGAGGGAATTTAGCTATTGCCCCAATGGTGCCAACCCAAGTGACGCCTTTCCTGACTGCGTCAGCCTTAGCCTTCCGGCCACTTGGACTCAAAACATCCAATATTTTGTCTCCTCTTATCTTTCCTGTGTAGCTATGTAAACCTCGAGGCATTTCCTTCTTCCTTCCCTCTCTCAGCCTTCCTCCGTGGGATTCGTCCCCAACTCTGAGTCTTGGAGCAGTATCCAGCTAGGCTAATCATCACCTGTTGTCTTGTTTGTTTTTGTGTTTTAGGCAGGGTCATGATGTAGAGCCCACACTGTCTTTGAACTCACTAAGTAGCTCAAGTTGTCCTTGAATTCAGGGCCCTCTGGCCTCAGCAACCCGTGTGTTAGAATTAAAGGCGTGTGTTACCGCACTTGGTTTCTCATACTCTTTCATTAACTCCATACTCTGAAAGTTCTGCCCCCACCAACTTCTCTACCTAAATCTCCAGGTTTCGGGGGTGTTTTTACCTTAACAGCCTGGCATTTCCTATGGCACTGCTTCACTTGTTGTTCCGCTAACATCAACCTGCTTTTTCTGGTCAGGCTCTCCCTCCTGGCCCACAGCATTGGCTGCTGAGGTTCTGGAGTTATGCAGCGCCTTTAAAGTGTGTTTCATTTTTAATCACTTGGGGGTAAAAACTGCAGAGCAGGCAGGGGAGATCTAGAATGAAGGAAGAATTTGGGTGAACCCTCCTCAATGGGGAAAGTCTAGGAATGAAGGGCCATCCAGATTCCGGGGGAGTATCCTCCATGGGAGAGTGCCAGGCCATGGAGACTCTTGTTTTAATGCCCCAGAGAATTCCTCCAGGTTCCCTACAAATTTCTTCCTTCTGGCTGCCCGAGTCTTCCTTCCTTAATTTGTTTGGGTTTTTGTTTGTTCTGTTTAGTTTGGTATTCGGGAGTGAATCCATTTCTTGTGCGTCTGGCAGGTTCTACCAACGGAGCTCCATCTATTTATGTTACACCTCACCAACTTCAGCTGGTGTGCAGCTCAAAAGCAGGTGTCATCCACATCCGTTCACCTTGCAGCTGGCTTGGTTCACCTGCCATTAGATACCGGTGTTGTGCTATTTCATTTGGTTACTTATCAGCTGGAGCTGTCTGTTGGTTAATTGGTGGGCTTCACTATTCAAAATAAGCTAAAGTTAACTTCTTCTTTTAGCAAGTTGTTTATAGAATTCATGAAATTATATTCTCATACCTTTCTCCTTCATGCTCCTTTAGCATTGTGTTATGGATTCTTTGGGTGGTGGTAGTGTAACAGCACTGGCTGTCCTGGAACTCACTTTGTTGACCAGGCTGGCCTTGACCTCACAGAGATCCGCCTGCCTCTGCTTCCTGAGTGATGGGACTAAAGGCAGGCGGAACTACCACTGGGTGTGTTTAGGATTGTTGATGTAGCACGTATCACCTAGATCAGTGGTTTTTGACCTGTGGTTATGACCCCTTTGAGGGTCACATATCACATATCCTGAATATCAGATATCTACATTACAATTCATAATAGTAGCAAAATTAGTTATGCAGTAGGAACAGAATAATGGTGGGGGGTCACCACGACACAAGGGACTGTATTAAAGGATTGCAGCATTAGGAAAGTTGAGAGCAGACTTAGAATTAGCTATCAAATGAGGGACTCAGGTTCTTGCTGGCTTTGTATGATTTCCCAGTAGTTAATACCATGTCTAGCATCTTCCAAGCACTCCACAGTAAAGCCTTGATGTGTTCTGATATCCTGAGTCTATGAGAAATCTTTGGATCAGTGACTGTCACAGTAATTGTGGCATAAATATGGAATGGTTGTTCAGCAAAGAGATTTGCACCTAAACAAAATCCTGTCTGTATAAGTCTAAATTCTGTCAGGGGCATCTTGTATGCGTATGTTCTTTCACTCAGCGGCAGCTCTCTGAAGTAAGCTATAAATTATTATTCATTGGCTTTCGGGTGGATTGACCAACATGTGCAAAGGCCAAGGCCTTTTGAGCAGGGTTAGATGGCAGACAGATGGGTGACCAGGAGAGCAAGCAGTGTGTTTCCTAAGGTCTGTGCATTCTCATTCAGAGCACAAACGTGACCCATCGAGTTGAGCAGATGAAACCGGGAACCAAAGACCACGTGAAGCGAGATGCAGCTGTATAGTTCACTTTCCCTCATCATTGTTCAGCCCTTCCTTCTCTCAGGGAAAAAACAAAAGAGGAAACACTTGACTTGGAGAGTGCAGAAGACTCTTGATCTTGATAGCAATCGACTGTACTTAATTCTTTCATTCTTTCTTCTTTACCAGGTGATGGCTGTGGGCACATAGTGACCTCTCAAGACAGCGGCACGATGACATCTAAGAATTATCCGGGGACTTATCCCAATCATACTGTGTGTGAAAGGACCATCATGGTCCCGAAGGGGAAGAGACTCATTCTGAGGTTGGGAGATTTGAACATCGAGTCCAAGACCTGCGTTTCCGACTACCTGCTCTTCACCAGCCCCACGGATCAGTACGGTAAGGAGAGAGGGGTGGGGCTCTGGTGAGCAGCACAGACAACCTGGGAGAGGGGAGACGGAACTCGCTCTGTGTAAATTCTGCAGGGTGAGGTAGATCCTCTTGCTTCATAAACTGAGGCGGTGAAGGAGATACTAAACTGTCTGCCCCATGTATCTCGAAGATTAGCTCAAATCTCTGTCTTGCTGGAAACAGAATCGGAAATGTGGCATTCGGTTAACACACACCTTCATTATTTGGCCAACGCTTATTGAATAGTGGCTATGACTCGGATGTTCTATGAGGAACTGGGTTATTATATTCAGTGAACAAACAACATTCCTCTCATGGAGAGTCTCCCTGGGGAAAAGACAACTGTGTTTAGAACATGTCAGGTGGTGAGGAAGAAAGAGATGGACTCCTACACAGCCTATTTTATGGTCATGTCAGTGGGGTGGTCAGGCAGGTCCTGCCGATGTGGGGAACATGAGTGCAGAGATGGGTGAAGTGAAGGGATGGATTTGTGGGTAAGACTGAAGTCAGTTTTCAGGAGACAGGGCAGCAGTGCAAAGGGAATTTCCCTATCTAATAACCTTTGAAATTCAGTTTCTTGTGCTATGGGTACTCTGTTTACGCCTGTGATGCTAATTGTCTTGCTGGTTAGGACCTGGCTAACTCGACAGAATATAGAATCACCTTGGTGACAAGTTTCTGGGCATGAAAATTCCTTGAGGTGGGAAGACTCACTCAAACTACATACTGACTAAAAAGAGAAAGCAAGCCGGAGCATTTGTTACTGTCTGCTTCTAGACTCTGGATGTCATGTGACCAGCTGCCTCACGCAAGCACCTGCTGCCCAACATCCTTTGAACTGTGAGCCAAAAAAACCCTTTCTCCTTTAAGTTGCTCTTGTCAGGAAAGTACTATCATTATCATGATGGCTTTTTGACCCTAAGCCCTAGATAGCTTGGAGTTAGACCATTGGAAACCAAAGACAAAACTCTTGACCAAAGACCAAAGACCAAATCTTGTCATCTACATTTTTAGATTCTTAACTACTAGTACTACCACCACCACTACTACTATTACTCTATTACTACTTCTTCTTCGTCGTCGTCTTCTTCTTCTTCTTCTTCTTCTTCTTCTTCTTCTTCTTCTTCTTCCCCTCCCCCTCCCCCTCCCCCTCCTCCTCCTCCTCCTCCTCCTCCTCCTCCTCCTCCTTTTCTTCTTTTAGAGATAGGGTTTCTCCATGTAGCAGCTCTGGCTGTCCTGGAATTCACTTTGTAGACTGATTAGATTGACCTCGAAGTCACAGGGATTCTCTGCTTCTGCAATGGATTTAAAGGCGTGTGCCATCACTGCCTGACTGGATTCTTGTCCTACACAGAGACTTATACTGAGATTTATAAGCTAATCTAACTTTGTTGCTGTATATACCACATAGTTGAGTATAATGGGAAGAGACTTGTAATCTAAACTGTGGTCAACTCCTCTAGCCCAACGAATCTTGTTGACCTTTTAAAGTTTATTTTGTTTTGATTATCTTGTTCCCGAGTAACTACAAGGACAGATGTTTTAAAAACGTCTCATAGCCTCATAAAGTGACCTCTGGTTTCTTTATGTGTGTCACAACATCCAATGCATAAGGAAGAACTTCAAATAGATAAGGATAGCTTCCTAAAGCAAGGGAAATAGTATGCCCAGGACTGTCCTATCCTGGGGAAGCTTAGAAACAGCATTCCTGGGAGAAGGCAAAAACGATTCATAAGAAAATTTCCATCAATCCAATCTTTTCAAATTGTACAAATATTAAAAGTCTCCAGAGTATGCAACAAGTGGAGATGAAAACCAGTGGTGGTATGGCGGCCATCATGTGGCTCCGCTTTGTTTGATCTTTGTCAAACAGCTATGCTGGCTTTATGACTTCTGTCACTCCCATTAGATATGGCTGTGCCAGTTCTTCCATCATCTAAAGCAGTGATTCTCATCCTTCCTAACACTGCGACCTTTAACTCAGTTCCTCAAGCTGTGGGGACCCCCAACCATAAAATTATTTCGCTACTACTTCGTAAATGTAATTTTGCTACTGTTATGAATATTAAGTAAATATCTGTATTTTTCCAGTGGTCTTAGGTGACCTCATGAAAGGGTCATTCAACTGCCAGTGGGTCATGACCCACAGATTGAGAACCAATGATGTAAACGAAGTCTGTGAGTGGGGGGGATGGGTGGTAGGGCAGCACGTATTTGTAATCCAAGTGCTTGGGAGGTGGAGGCTGGAGGACAGGAGTTCAAGGCCATCCTTACAGATGACCCAGGTTTAGTAATCAGAGCCCATGTGGTGGTTCACAACCATCTGAACTCCAATTACAGGAGATCTGACTCCCTCCTGCCTTCTCAGGCACCAAGTGGGCACATGGCCTATACAGGATGCATAGACAGACATGCAGACAAAACAGGTACTCATAAAATCATTAAGAAATATAAATAAAATATACAACGTCTCAACTGTGGGTTCTTATAAGACAAAACAAAAGAAAAAAGATAGATTAAATACCTTCTTATTCCAAGAATGAAGAATCAGGTCACAGTCACAACCAAATCAAAGAAAGACCAAAGTCCAATAGATAAAAACTACAGCATCTGATACCTTGGACCCACTACCTGTTCTCTGGGCTGTGAAGGGCCTGAGTCACTTCCAGCTCCATCTTCTGCAGCACACAGCTTGTCTGCACGGCCCGAGCTGATGCTACTCCACAGCTGTGGCTCCTCTTCGCGATCTGCTGTCGTTGGTGATCCGGTCCATGGAACTGGCATCTCAGATTCTGAGTCTCTCTTGCAGCTGGGCTGTACCTTCACTGATCACCTCTCCTGGGCTCTTCTCAGGAGCTCTCATCCTTCCATGTGATGCCAAGCCTCACCTTCTCCCCATGGCTCCCTCATGCCTTTAAAGCCAGCACTACCTGGGAAACTCTTGTTCACATTACATATTCAGCTGCTAATGCAGGAACAGTCAGGGCCCCCTCTGGACCTCACATTCTGAGTGCTGACCTGGGAAAACACTACCCAAAGATTTCCCCTCAGTGATACTGGTCTTTTAGAACCCCCTCCAATTCTTCAGCACCAGCTGAACAGTGTCGATTAGCCTACAAAGCAAAGTTCACATTAGTGGTTCTGGTCTGTTAGTCACAGCGATTCTTCTGCCCCTGCTGACTAGAACCACAGATTATTAATTTAATATCAAATGGCCCTGATAAGAATCTCAAGAACTTTCAGACCTTCTGAAACTTCACAAACCAGGCCTCTATCGTTTACATTTCTCTCCGTATCCTTGTCTTCCCAGCTCACAAAGCCATGAAGGAAGGCTCAGTGGCTTTTCCAGCCCAGTGCTCTGAGGTTCTTCCACGGTTCTCCCCCATACATGGTCTGGTCTGTCCCGGCAGTACCCCATGAACCTTGTACCAGTTTCTGTCACTGATGTGATTTAAAAACAAAAGGCATTACCAAAAGCAGCGTATGGAAGAAAGGATTTATTTCAGTTTGCACCTTTCAGGTCACTCTCCACCTAGGGAAGTCAGGGCAGGACATCAAGAAGGCAGGAACTGGCTTGTTCCCCATGGCTTACTCAGCTTGCTTTCTTATACACTACAGGACTACCTGCCCTGAGGTGGTACCAGTCACAGTGGCTAGACCCTTCCATATCAGACAGTGATTAAGAAAATGCCCCTACAAACTTTCCTACAGGTTGGTTTTACGGTGGCATTTTCTCAATTGTTCCCTCTTCTCAGATAACTGTAGCTGTGTCAACGTTGACCAAAAACCAAACCAGGGCAGTATTTTTAATGTGTGTGGCTGAGTTAAGAAGCTGACCCTGCTAAATGCTTTGGAAGTAGTAAAAAATTTGCAACCGTCGATTAAGCCAGACATGGTGTCACAGACATGTGTTTAATGCTGGCACAGCAGCAGTGACAGGGCAGGACTCTGTGAGTTAAAAGCCAGACTGGTCTTCATAGGCAGTTCCAGGCCAGCCAGAGACCCTCCCTGTCTGAAGAGGAAGGAAGGAAAGAATGCTGGATAATATTCAGGATCGGGAAGCAGTTGGCAGCCGTGGCTCGTCGGTCTCCTATAATCTAGGATTGTTCCTCAGTCTGTCTTTGTCTTTTGTGCTACCCAGTTATTTTGTACAGTGTCTGTCAGTTTAGGTTGCTTTGATGTCCCTTGTGATTAAATTCAGATACTGCATTTTTAACCAGCACGATCTATCATTGTCTGTCTGTACTAAGACAGAATCTCACTGTAACTCAAACTAGACTGGAACTTACTGTAGCTGGTTTTGAACTCACAGCAATCCTATTGCCTCAGCCTCCCCAGTGCTTTGAGTATACATTCAAGACCCACCACACCTAACACAGTACCTCCTTCTAAAGTCATCTTTAGCTCAGCCTGGTAGTGAGTGCTCTTAATCCTAGTACATAGAGGCAGGAGGATCAGAGTTCAAGGTCATCCTCAACTACAAAGGGAGTCTGAGGCCAGCCAGACTATCAAACCCAATCTCAAAAAGCTAGTGAAGAGAAACTAAACTAATATAATTAATAGACAGTAACTTTTCAACATCAGAGTCTGCGAGTAGCGTGTGCTTCCAAAATGTGAATTATGATCAAAACTGTACCTATTCTTAAGTTATTCCAAGCAGAATTTCTTCCAATAACCCCTTTGCTGTTATTTAAGTAGAACAGTGTAGAATGAGACATTGACAAGTCCCAGATGGAAGGGGATGCCATCTTTCAGAAGATGAAAAGCATCTCATATTTATGTATATCTTTAAAATAGTAGAAACTGCTCATTTCAGGGACTGAATACATTTACTTTGAAACATATAGGTTGAGTGAGTATCTCAATCTAAAATACATATCCCAAATTCTACGGTTCAGGAGCTTCGTATTCTCTGACCTGACCCAGAGGATGAGATAAGATGGGCTGGGGAGATGGCTCAGCAGGCAAACAGTATACCATCAGGGCCT